GACAGGCACCTGGATCCCTGCAGTAGACTACGTCCTGGTCTCCTGCTCACCCATATACTCCCCAGCGCTCCCATTCTTCAGCCAAAGGGAGCCTGCTAACACCTAAGTTAGGTCACTTTGTTCTCAGTTCCAAACCTTCCACGGCTCCCACCGCCGTCAGAACAGAGGTCCAGCTCCTCAGGCTCCCACTCCAGGCCTGGCCCCGTGGCCACCTGCTCTCTGTTCCCACTGAACCTAACAAAGGCTTGCGGTCCCCGAGACACTCCGAGTTCACTGTCACCCTCAGGTGTTCTACCAACAAGCTCTTGGGCCTTAGAAACCCCCACACCTCATCCTATCGATATAGAAATGGGAACCTCGTCATACAGCCGTCGGGTGCGCCGTCCTCCACCGCCTTCATACTCAGAGCGGGGAGCGAGGAAGATGAAGTGGTGACGGTCCTAGCACACACCAGCCCCTACCTCCGAGTCGTCGAAGGCTCGAGGGACCCTCCACTCACCTGAGTCCGGTCCACCGGCGCTGCGGCCGCCATGGGATCCTGTGAGCAGAACGGCTCTAAAGAAGGGCGAACAGGGCGCGCCCTGCAGGCTCAGCCGAAGCCCCACAGCCCCCGGACGGGTGACCTCTGGCTGACCGTCGCGCTCCGAGCCTCCGTGTCTCCGCATACAAGGCTCGGGGGGCCGCCCGCGGGGGCCGCCGAAGACAGAGGGCGGGCGAGAAGGCCTGGGAAAGAGCGCAGCCCCGGCGGCGACCCCTGCGCCAAGACCGCCAGCCCCAGGAAGAGGATCGTGGATGGTGATACAGACGCGGAGCGAGGTCTGTCCGTTCTGCTGTTCTTCTCTGCTTGGTTCCGAAGAGCCGCTTGGACAGCTCACCCCATCCGACTCGGAGCCTCCACAGCCTGTGTGGACAGCCCCGGCGCAGGCATAAGACATCACCGCGGGGACGCAGGAAGTCCCGCCCCGGCCGCCGTATCAGGAAACGCCCATCTTCCGGGTTGTCTATCGCTCAAGGCCGATGCACCGTCGGGCACAGACTTCTGGGTAATGTAGTTTGTGCCCTGTATCGACCAGGCAGCGGGCATGTTTCTGTTTTTCCCTGGCAACAGGAAAACCGGAAGGCCAGTCGCTGGAAAGAGACCGAGACCGCGAAGCTCTAGGGTCCCGGAGTGTCAAAGCGCCTCTTAAAGGTGACGCTCCCAGATTTCCACGCATGGTCCCCTGCGACGATGCCACGTCCTCACAGGTGTCCAGCTGTTTCACCTCTTCGAGCTTTCGAGGCTGAGATTTAAATTGAACAACGAATACACCTCGCTCGTGGGGATTTTGTGTAGTAACATTAAATGTTACGCGAATTCGTTGATTCCCAAATTCAGGACCCTGATACGGCGATATCAGCATCACCTGTCTGTGAACCTTTTAAAATGCAAGTTCTTGAATCCAGTCTTCATCTTCATACACAGAAACCCTGGGTCTGGAGCCTTAGCTCAAGCTTGAGAGCTGGAGTTCTGTTTAAAGTCATTCACACCCCACCCCCACCAGAGCCCAGTAACTAAAATGGGAAAAGATACAGCTGACCTCACGGGATGTAAGACGAAAAGTCTTTAACACAGAACCTACTACTAACCACATACAAACTATTACTGGTATTATTCATTGTCAGCGCAAGGTTTTCACATATACTGCTATAGGGGAATGTCAGAGGCCCCTTTTTAAAAATACAAATTTTAGTGTAATTTTAAAAATATAAAACAATCGCTTTTCACATATACTGCTATAGGGGAATGTCAGAGGCCCCTTTTTAAAAATACAAATTTTAGTGTAATTTTAAAAATATAAAACAATCACTTTCTCAGCAAGTAGCATCATAGGTAATGGTTAGAATTTTTGCATAAAGTACACCTTATGTCTTCAGACTCATTTAGTCTTTTTTAAACTAATCACATTCAGTAGAGCTTCATCAACTACAGGTAGGTCTGTTGTCCCATGACTCAAAACGTAGGACTATCAAGATTAATTGCCTTTAGGCTTAAGTGGACAACGGAGCTAACATGGTTTCATATTATCTTCAAGTTTTGTTTTGTTTTGTTTTTAACCAGTAAAAATGGGTTTATTGGGATTAGCAGAGAACTACGATTTGGACAACCAAGCTATGGCAAAAACCATAGGCTAGTCCAACAAAGGAGAGGAGAGTTATTTTATGGAGGAGAAAATTGGGCCGGTTTGTTTGAATTAAAAATCCATTGAAGAAAAGCAAGAATTCAGTGTGATGGTGGCGTCCCCCTGGCTGGGCTGTCGGGGTAGCTGATTTCTTGTGGGTGACTGACACAAGGTACATCTTTTCCTAGTGGGGCCTGTAGTGGATGATTCTTTGCTGTTGAGGATTTTGGGGGTTCTGGAATTGACAATGCTCGAGTAGTATGGTGTGAGGACTCCCCCTACTGGCCTCCTGACTCCATTTCAGTGTGGTTTCTCTATTAATTTTCATCTTTTCCTCTTTTGATCAACATCTTTCTCTGAATGCATGCCTGATAAAAGTCAGGTTTTCTTAACTTATTGCCCTTTTGTCCCTCAGTACCAGGAAGGATCTTTTCTGAGTGTCATGTCCCATATTAGAGGAAATTGTACAGACTGGAAACCTACTGAGGTCACATGTAACAAGGAATGTATATAGTACCAAGTAGTAGCATTTAAGAATTTCTGGTAGGGATGGATTGTTATTTGATCCAACCAGAGTTCTTTTTCTTGAACCAACAATTATTAGACTATGAAATTTCCAATATTGCTTTTCCTTTCTGGGGCCAATTATTGGACATCTCTTGTCAATTTTTCTAAATCATCATTTGGCAGGACATCCCTTTGTACCATAACAGAGGTGTGGCTACTGATTCCCTTGAGAGCAGCATTCTGGCACAACTATAGGCGAGGCGGATTCCTCTGGAGTGATCGAGTGTGGTATGCCCAGGAAATTTAAGAATAGCCAGAACTGCCAGCAAAGGTATGGCATTTCATGGACTTTGGACATAGAAGCCAATTTTAGTTTTATCCTCATTGGAAGTTAAGGAAATCTCGCTGTTACTGTAACATTCCAAAGTCATGAGCTATGCCAAATGCATACTGACTATCAATATAAATGTCTGCGTTTTCACCCTTGGCTAAGGTACAAACCCGAGTAAGGGAGTGCAACTCTGCCTGTTATGCTGAAGTAGCTGGGGCAGAGGGGCCGCCTCAGTGACCGCAGGGGTCATGGTGGCACGCCCAGCATGACACTCGTCATCTTCACCCTTTAAATAAGAGCCACCAGTAAACCATGAAAAATCTGCAGTGGTTAGAGGAGTTTCTTGTAAATTGCCACCGGGAGCCAAAAGGTGATCTGTCAGCATTAAGTAGTCATGAGGGGTTTTGACCTTGAAGGAGGGGAAAAGAACGGCAGGGTTAAGATTATTGTAGTGAGAAAGGGTTACATGCGGAGCAGTTCATAGGTATAAGATGACTGGCTGAAAGGTGTTGCATAGGATAAGAATTCAAGAGGCTTCTACTGTGTGCGGCACAGAGGTGACTAAAGGGCGTCCCGTGACTGCTTCTCCAGTGGTCTTAACTAAAAGGGCAGTGGCAGGAACGGCTGATTCGAGGGGAAGACCCCTGGGCCGCAGGCTCTGATGTTGGCTACAATGCACTATGCACTGATTATGGTCTGTTTTTGGGTGAGGACTCCAAGGGCAGTCCCTTCCTTCTCACATATGAAGAGAAAAAGGAAAGATGATAATTAGAATGCCCAAGGACAGAGGCTTTATTAGGCTTTTCTTTAAAGTCCCACATGCTATGTCATCCTGATCTTTCCAAATAATAGGGTCAGGTTTGTCATTTTTTAGTAAAGCATACAGAGGTTGAGATTCCTAAGTGACCAGTTTGGAATCCAGTTTCGACAGCAGCCAGGGAATCTAAGAAAACTGCAGTAATTGGCATTTGCTTTAGGGTTGGGGAAGGAAGTTTAGGGTGCCATGGAGACAAACAGCAACAAGGTCACAGTTGGCCTCTGACTGGACACGAAGTGAAGACTAGCTGGTTCAAATGGGGAAAAAAATGAGGGAACAAGCCTCAGGGTCATTCATCCCCGCTAGCCCAGGTCTCTGAACATGCTGCCTTGTCCAAAGAGCTCCCAGGCACAGGAAGAAACATCCTGCTCAGCACTTAACAGACCCAGGAGCTCAGCTACAGGTACAGCCACACCACAGCACAGCACAGTTCTCCTGAGAGCACAGACGCGGGGGGAGCCCATGAGAGGCAACGCTCTTCCCCAGGTTAACAGAAAACTATACGTGTTGTCATTTTAAAAGTGTTAAGTATTGGGCCTACTGATCCGTTTGGAAGTGCATGCATGGTGAAATGTGGTAAAGCACCACAGAATGGCTTTGGCCCACCACAGTGATGCAAAACTACGCCAGCGGTCACTAAAAAGGCTCTGAGGAGGGCCCAAAGGGAGAATGTAATTTCTTTTATATCAAAAAAATGCACAAAAAAATTGTTTTCAACATAAGTAACAATAATCACGTCATGCCGCTTAACCTTTAGCCTCAGAGAATCCCCAACACCCCACCGGAAGAGAGTATCAAGGGCAGAAATCCACAGGGGAGAATGTAAATCTCCCGTCTACCTGCTCACACCCATCTTCACTCCTCCGACAAACTGCAGTCACTTTTCTTTACACCAACATTTGACACAGTCTTGTAACATTAAACAATGAGATTCTTTATCCATGTTTATTTTTTCATGATTTATCAAGAATTTAAATTGAATGTATGTTTTGTTTTTAAGAAATGCCTTGTCCTTTGCTTTGTTTTAAATTGAAGCCTTCTCTCACCACTCTTATTCAACACAGCACTCGAAGTCCTAGCTGAAGCAATCAGGCAAGATAAGAAAATAAACAGGGATCCAGATCACAAAGAAATAAAACTGTTGTGATGAGATGATATGATCTTATATATTGAAAATTTCAAAGACTCAACTAAAAAACTGTTGGCTTTAATGAATGAAATCAGTAGTTACAGGATATAAAATAATTATACACAAATCAGTTGCATTACTATATACTAACAATTAAGCATCTGAAAAATAAGGAAAACCATCCCATTACAAATTGCATCAAAAACAATAAAAGAATTGGGATAAATTTAAGCAATGAAGTGAACGACTTGTACAATGAAAATGGTAAGATTCTGTTGAAGGAAATCAAAGGAGCACAAGCAAATGGCAAGACATCCCATGTTCATGGACTAGAAGAGGTAATATGAAAATGTTCATGCTACTCAAAACTGTCTATAGATTCAATGAAATCCCTATCAAAATTCCGCTGGCATTTTTCATAGGAATAGAAAAAGAAACTAAAATTTGTATAGAACCACAAAAGCCAAAGCAGTCATGAGAAAGAACAAAACTGGTGGCCTCACACTTCCTAATTTCAAACTATACTACAAAGCTATAGTAATTAAAACAAGATGATACTGGCATAAAAATATACAATGGAACAGAATAGGAGTCCAGAACTAAACCTCCACATATACAGTCAACTAATATTTGATAAAGGAGCCAAGAACACTTCAGTGGGAAAAGATAGTCTGTTCAACAACGGTGCTGGGAAAACTGGATAAGCCCACGCAGGAAGGTGAGACTGGGGCCCTCTCTTACACCACTCGCAAAAAATTGTTTTGAAATGGATCAAAGATTTAAACATAAGATCTGATACCACAAAACTCTTAGAAACAAACAAGGAGAAGCTCCACAAAACTGGTTTTGGCAATAATTTTTTTGGATACACCAAAGGCACAATAAACAAAAGAAAAAAATGAACAAGTAGGACTACGTCAAACTTCAAAGCCTTTATACTGCAAAAGAAACACCTAACAAAATAAAAAGGTAACCCATGGAATGGGAGAATATTTGCAAACTATGTGTCAGATAAATGGTTAATATCCAAAATTTATAACGAGCTCAGATAGTTCAGTAACAAAACAAAAATCTGATTAAAAAACAGGCAGAACTAAATAGACATTTTTCCAAAGAAGACATCCAAATGGTCAATGAGTACAAGAAAAGAGGCTTGGTATCACTAATCATTAGGGAAATTAATCAAAACAAGGAGGTATTACCTCACACCTGTAAAAATGACTGTCAGGAAAACAAGCATTGGCAAGGAAGTGGAGAAAATGGAACCTTTATGTACTGTGATGATGACCCGGCCCAGCTACTTTGGAGAACAGTATGCAGGTTCCTCAAAAAATTAAAAATGGAATTATCATATAATCCAGCAATCCTACTTCTGAGTATATATATCCAAAGGAAATGAAACAGTGTATCAGATAGGTATGTGCACTCCCAGGTTTACTGTAGCATTGTTCACAACAGCCAAGTTATGGGAAAACCTAAGTATCCATCAAGAAATGACAGGATAAAGATTTTGAACACACACACACACATATATATACACATACGGTGGAATATTACTCAGCTATGAGAAAGAAGGAAATCCTGCAAGTTGTGACAACATGGATGGACATTATGCTAGTGAGATAAGTCAGAAAAAGGTAAATATTATATGATATCCCTTATACGTGGAATCTAAACAAAAAGGAACTTGAAAAAAGGGGGCAGAATGATGGTTACAAAGCCTAGGAGGTGGGGCACAATAGATGTTGTTTAAGGTTACATACTTGCAACTAAGAGATTAAGTCCTGCAGATCTAACACACAGTACAGGGATTACAGACAACAAAATTGTATTATAAACATCAAACTTGCTAAGAGATTGCATCTTAATTGTTCCCACCACTAGAAGAAATAATTCTGTGACATGAAAAAGGTGTTAGCTGGCACAACAGCAATCATATCGCGATATGTAGTGTATTGTTGTACACCTTAAACTTACATGTCATATGTCAATTATATCTCAATAAAGAAATAATTGAAGCCTTAAATGGTACAGTAACCATTCATACGTGTGTCCTTAGGCATAGTTACTTTAGACAATATTTTTAATATTCTAATTTCTTTTAAGTTCTAATTGCTTCATAAATCAAGGCTTAACACTTTTCAAAGACATATGCTCCTCAATGTTTGGGACAAAGAAACATTTCAATGACTTTTGCAGAGCTTCCCTCAAGTGTCCAACTCTCTCCTACCCGGAAAAACAGAGAGTGTATATAGTCAGAGGGAGGGAATGAGGCCTTTCCGTCTTTCAAGCTCCTCTCCTGCCACCCAACAGAAAAAAACAATCAACAAACTGCCATGGGCGTCAGGGAAACCTGCAAACGCCCCGACTGTACTTTTTGTTAAATCTGCTTATTTTCTTCCTCCTCCCTTATGCCTTTTTCTTTCTCTAATATTCCTGTGATTTCTTTTCAGTGCATACCAATGGTAAAACTATACTTGACAGTTTTGTCATTACACAACAGCCACTGGTTCTCTCTCCTTCATAAATTCTCAGATACAAAGTAAGGTCCCAGATTGGATCAATTTCCTGTAAGACCCTTTAGCTGACAGCAAGGGGCGACCTGCCTCAGATCCCCTCACAGCAATGACACAGGGTTTCTCTTTGGTATAATTTCTTAGATGCCAAGTAAGATATTCCCTCTGGCCAAAAGATGTTCCTCATGAGTTACATTCACAAGGTCTTCCCCCAGTGTGAGTTCTCTGATGCTGCCTCAGGTAGTCTACTTGGCAAAAGGCTTCCCCACATCTCCACGCACATGGTTTCTCCCCAGCATGAATACCTCCAGACTGGGGGAGACAGGAAGCAAGCCTGAGGTCTGTCCACATTCACTATGTCCACTGGAGGTTTCCCTCAGTGTGACTCCTCACGTGCTGAGTTAGCAAAGAGTTGTCACAAAAGGCTCTCCGAATTCTTTTAACTTAAAAGGCATGTTCCCCAGGGTGGATCCTATTACGCCAGGAAACATGAAAGCATGCACAAAGGCCTTTCCACACTCCCTGCACTCGGGGCTTCTCCTGTGAGACCTCTCAAGTGATGAGTAAAAAAAAGCTGTCACGAAAGGTTTACCCACATGCTTCGCACCTGAAGAAACTTTCACTGGAGTGTAAAATACTGTTTTGGACAAAAACAGAGCTCTTACAAGAGACTTCCACATGTGCATTTGTAAATTCTCCCATGTGACTCTGCTAGAGCTACCTGAGCTCTGACGACGGCTGAAGGCCTTCCCACGAGACGCACTCACACAGTGTCAAGAGTGTAAAGCCTCATGTTGACTAAGGTCTGCCCTCTTGAGACTTTCTCACATTCACTGCAGTCACAGGGCTGCACTTCCGTCTGATCTGCTGATGCTGAACAACACAGCAAAACTTGCTAAACCCTTCCCTGCATCCCTTCCACTTGTGCAGATTCCTCCCATACAGACCATGGAAGCTGTGCCTGGTCCCTGTGAGTTCTGGTCATGAAAGCGTCTCCGGGAGACTCACTCCTGCAAAACTCTTGAGCACAAATTACATCAGCCCCTATGCAACTGTGTCCAGAGTTCATCTTTCTAGGGAGAAGTTCCCTGTGGGAAACTATCCCTGGGCTCATGCGCACTTCAAGAATCTGATGGTCCTCATCATTCCCTGGTTCGCCCCAGCTGGGTATCCCTTGAGACTCTCTGAGTTCAGCTGACCTCGGAGCGAGGCTCCCTCCAACAAGGGCAGCTAAGGAGTGGAAGGCATTGCAGTGTCAGGTTGTGCTGTCTTGACCAATGGGAATCCAATACACAAGGGCCAGCTTAGAGAGGCCTTCCTACCCAGTGTGCCTGTGTGGCTCCTCTGCGAGGGGCCTAGTGTTGGTCAAGTCCAGAGCTGGCCAAGAAGTTCTTGTAGCCTTCCCTGCACATGAAGACCTTCTCTGATACATGGCATCTGCAGCTCTTCACAGACGAGGCCTGCCCCTTTGCCCTTCTGAAGAATTCTCTGCACTTCACTACCTCTGCATCCGGTCAAGGCTGACACTACCCCAGAAGTCTCTCTTCCGTTATTCACATGTTGGTATACGCGTGCTGCCCAGACAGTGTTCCTTGTAGCTCATCCAGCTGCAAAAATGTTTTTCAAGCCTGAATCACGTGTGTCACAGGGGTGGGCCTTTTGGGTGGAAGGCCCTGTCTTGGGAGCATCTGTGACCCTGCCCACAAGGTGTAGTGTAGCCTCATCCTCCAATCCATGCCAACAACCTGAAGGAAGATAAGTGTTGGTGAAGGGCATATTTAATTGGTGGCAAGTGGCATCCTGTAACAAATGTGTGTCTGATACAACCAGGAACTAGTCTATGGAGCTAGAGGCAGTGCTCGAGCCTTAGAGTTGGGATAAGGAAGGGCTGCTGTGCCCTGCAGGGTGGCCAAGGGGATGGGGTACAGGGGGGGCAACTGGGTCTCCAGCCCCCTCCTCTGCCACTCATCTGACAGCAAGGACTTGGTTCTTTGCGACAGGTGGGTGCTGTGCAAAAGGGGCTGTCCAGGGCCGGAAGAATCTGGCTGAAACCGAATACTTTGTCTTCAAGGGAAACTCAAGGGTATGCGCACAAGTCATGACATAGTAAATGAAAGCCAGTGCTGTGGAGACCGCAGACAGCGCCCACAAAGGGACAGACACGGTGCGGAGCCCAGAAGGGCGCCTCAGGTCAGAGGAGAGATGACAGTGAGCAAAGCACCAAAAAACGGGAGGGAGTGGCATGAGGTCACTGGTGTGGGCGCCACGGCACAGCACACCTGGAAGCCTGCTGGGATGACGTGAAGCCAGCGCTGGTGTCTCCGCTCCACAGCTTCCACTCACCAGGGCCAGGCATCTGGCTCTTCCCTGGGGCTGCAGCTGGGTCTACCTTCTCAGGTACCCTGAGCTCCCCTCTGGCTCCATTTGGGTAACTGCATGGGGCCTGGAAACCTCCAGTCCTGAGGGGAAAAAAGAGCTGGTGAGTGGACAGCAGTGAGCCTCTCCACAGAAAAGGAAATTATTGATTTAAAAAAAGAGTCTTGGAAAAGCATCTTGCAGGAACAGCTTGTTGTTCTTTACAAGGAGTGACCACCTCAGTGCCAGCAACTCCTGGAACCGTAAGCCCCACAAGAAATACCAACTTAGAGGAGGGGGAAGAAATCTGGGCCCAGAGAGGCCAAGGATTTGGAGTCACCCAGCCAAGGGGTGGCCAGGCCATCTGGGGTCTGCTGGGCAGGCTGCACGACTCCTGACCATATCCTTGCTCTCCAAGGTCTGGGACAGTAGAAGTCGGGGCTGCTCTGGCACAGGAGGTGTCCACTGCCGGCCCTGATACTCACACCACCTATCCCAGGAATCCAAGGAGCGGAACCACGATAGAACCGTAAGACAGAGAGCTGCTCCTTGGGAATAAAGGGAGAAACAAAATCCAGCCCCGGAAAGTGGCTATCATAAATGCCGTCTGGTATCCGGGTCCTTGTTAAGTCCCTCCAGCTGAGTGTGGGCTGGACCTAAAAGCTCTTTTCAAATGGCAAAAATGATGAGCTGTCACTTCTGAAAATAGGTTACAAAAACACCCGCTTCTTAGATGCTGGCTCTTGCTCACGCTTGTGGACACCGGCTGCCGTGTTATGACCTCCTTACAGAGGAAAAAAACCATGTGGCAAGAGACTCAGGGAGGGCTCCGGCCAGCAGCTGGACAGAGACCGACAGTGTTCCAACAGCCTCCTGCTCGCGTGCGTGACCCTGAAGGGAGATTCCCCTCCAGCCGAGCCTTCAGTTGAGACAGCGACCTACACAGCCTGACAAGGTCACGAAGACCTTCAGCTAGCCGTATCCACGCCAGGTGTGCCTGATTCTTGACCGACAGAACCGTGTTTGTCTTTTCAACTCACTAAGCTTTGGGGTAATTTGCCACGTACCAATGGATACCGACGACAGAGGCTTACCTAGCGAGGACACAAGCGCAAAGTTCTCCAGCATCACATCGTGGTACAGGCTTCTCTGCGCCTCCTCAAGGAGCTCCCACTCCGCCCGGGAAAAGTACACGAACACATCCTCGAAGGTCACACAGCCCTGTCATAAAGCGGACAGCTGGGCCCAAAGTCAGCGCCTCTCCCCAGGTCGTGCTGCTCCCACAGCCCCCAAATGAGGGCACACCAGGCCTTGGTGCCACTAGTGCCCACTCTCCTGCCCCTGTGATCAGTATGCGCAGCCCAGAGCAGAACCAGGAGCACGGGCAGGTATTACAGGAGCTGCGTGTCTGACACGAAGGGCACCAGACGCTCTCCTGCCGGCCGGTTCTCCCGGTGCCCTTGAGACCGTGCTTCCCAGACACGACCAAACTGGGCTCAGCCTTCTCCCATAAACTGCCAGGACTCAGGCCTTAAAGTCCTCGGCGTGCATTCTCCTTGGTCTCCCGGCCTCCCCGCCAGTTCCCACTCTGTAGCCAGAGGGACCCCTACTGAATGAGGTCTGTATCAAGTCACCTCTGTCCTCTGCTCCAAACTTTCATTTGAGAAACCCACTCTCTAGGGCTACCATTCCAGGCCCGAATTCTGCCCCCTGTTGTGTTTCCATAAAAAGCAATTTAGCCCCTGGTCACTCCCAACTCGGTCTCACCTCCCAGTATCTGTACATACCTGTTCCCGTGACTGGGACACCCTTGTGACGTTATTTCCCTGGTTGCCAGTAACGCGAACACAGCCACATAATACCTGACCTGGGCCCGGGGCCCTGGGCCAGCAGGGACTCCCTCCTCGGACCCCGTGACCCAGAACCAAGGAAAGGAGGGGGAGAATCCCAGCACACCCGCAGCTGTTTGGAGGGGAGGCGCGGTGGCCATGCAGGCGTTGCCCTAGGGGACCCTCCACTCACCTGCGCTGGATTCATCAGTGCCACCGTCCCCGCGGGGCCGCGGGAGTGGCGGCGGCCCGGAGAGGAGGGCGAGCAGGGCAGGGCGGGCCCGCAGGCGCTCCTCGGCGGGGTCACCTCCGCGGCGTGTCGCACTCCGAGCCTTGCTACAAAATGATGTAAAATGCTCACAAGGCCCCGGTGCCGCCCTCGGGGGCGCGGCGACGGAGATCGGGTGCAGAGGCCCCCGAGAACGCGAGGTCCCAGGGGCGCCTGGTGAACACGAGGCGCGAGGGCGCCTGCCCCACGGTCGCAGGCAGTCTCCGGGGGATGGAGCCCGTGCCCGGGGGTCACGGTTCCTCCGGGGCGCAGGGGTGCTCCCGCCCCGCCACTCGCCCCCTCAGCTCGCCCAGGGAGAAGCGCCCCGTAGCGCTCCAGTCCACGTGGCCGTAATCCAACCAGCAACTGCTCACGGAAGGATGTTCTCATGAGGCGAGGCCGGAAGTCCCGCCCCGACGTAGCAGGAAACGCCCTTCTGCTGGGACGTCATTGGCCCACGCTCGAGGCTGAAGCTCGAAGCAGCTCCTTCTGGGTAATGTAGTTTGTGCTCTGCCTGTGCCCACGGGCGTGCGTCATTTCCCTTCTCCCAGGCAACGGTCTAGTGGCGCTGCTGGAACCGGTTGGGAAGTGACATCCCAGGTTTCCTACCACTGGGGCGGGGCTTCGCTTCCTCCTAAATAAAAGACTCCAAATTTCTGTGGGCTTGAGGACGATGCTCCGCCCGCAGAAATCAACCGTCTACAGCGCCTGGGAAGCTGTTAGAACTGTAGGCCCTGTGGTTCCCTTGGACCTAGTGAATCAGAAACTATGCAAATGGCTCAGCGCTGTGTGCTTTTAAGAATCCCTTTGCTGCTCACTCGTTTAAGAACCATAGCTATATTGTGATTAAAATGGGGAATACTAACTTCCTCATGGGAATTTACTTAAAAAGTGCCTATTACATAGTGTCCCATAAATATTAAAGTTATCGTCACAACGCTTTCACGTACAATGCTGTGGGAGGCGAAGTCTACGATAACTCTCTGCAGGATCCTTGGCATTATTCATCTGCAAGTTCAGGGAGAGAAAATTCCGGGGCGAAATACCTCTAAAAGCTGAAATCAGTCAAAGGGAGAATTAAAGTTCAAAACTCATTTATTGCTTACAAACTGCAGTCTGGTGCCTTTTCTCTCTTTACTGCTCCAGCAGAAAACCGGCCCTCCCCCTCACCTCTCAGGTACAGACAGATAAGCTCTCCAGGCCCAGGTATTATCCATTGATATGGAGATGAGCTTCTCTCTAGCCTTGAGGATATGCAAATGTCCTAAAGCCATACTTCTTTCCACCTCTGAACACCTATTGATATGCAGATGTACTAAAGCCAGGCGAGATATTCTGGAAATATTACAATTTTACCCACATTATCAAAGACTCCTTGAATCAGAAAATAGCCTCAAAATTATTAAGAAGTTGTACACAAACATTTATGGTGTTGGGTCCGTGTAATCGATCTCCAAATAACCGGGAGACGCGTGGATGCAAAAGCAAGAGCGTTTACTGGGTAGCCAGTATGCTGGGGTCTCGCACGCGCAGGTGGAGACCCCAAAGTACAAGTTTATTCATTTTTATACTAGAGTGGGCCATGCGCAGAGCGGGTGTGACCTGGTTCTCACAAAACGAAGTCCAGAAAAAAAAAAAATGGAGTAGCTTATGCCCAGACTCTTTAGTCAGGACTCTTTCTTCTTCTCCCCCCTTGAGTTTTGTTCTATTTCAAATCTTTGAAGTAACGGAATAGGGTCTTCCTTATTCGAGATCTAAGGACCATGAGCTGGATGGTGGAGATCCGTTTCTGTACAAATTTGAGGAGGGCATTGATAAGGCAGGGGCCACATGTAAGAGCCAGTATCAGAAGTAAGAGGGGGCCTGCTACTGCTGATAATAAAGTTGTTAGCCAAGGGGACCAACTGAAAAGGCTTTCATACCAGTTTTGGGTGGCTGCTCTATTTCTCTGCCGGTTTTTAATTCTAGTTTTTAGTTCAGTCAAAGAATTTTGAGTAACACCTGAGTGGTTGGTATAGAAGCAACACTGTCCTCCTAAGGCCACACGCAGTCCTCCTTGTTGCAAGAGCAGTAAGTCAAGTCCTCTCTATTTTGTAGTACAACCTCTGCTAGGGAGGACAAAGACTCTTCTAGCCGGGCTAGAGTAAGATCTACTGTTTGGAAATCGTGGTCCATAGCATCACTGAGGGCTTTGTAATTTTTATCTTGGAGGACTAGAGATGCTATGCCTGTACCAGCATCAGCCAGACCGGCCCCCAAAATGGCAGAGACTACTATGGTGGAAATAATTTCTCATTTTTGCCTGCTTAGACTCCTTTGACTTAGGGAATAGCTATCAATTATTTCTTCTTCACCGTGCACTACTACCCGGGGGATGAGTTGCACGAGAATGCAGACATTATCATGAGTTCTAAGGGTGTCAGCATGGATACAAGCAGTTATTCCTGTTTTACAGGCCCACCAAGTGTTGGGAGGGTCTACTAGGTATGATTGGATCTCGGAATTAACATTTGGGGTCCGGCTACATAAGTGAGGGTAAGGAGGCAGTCGGTTGGTGGCAACACAAAGTCCTTGCCCTGTGAGGGCCTGTAGGGTAACTCTAGGAGCACGCTCAGAATTCCCTTGGGACCACCGGCATTTGGAGGAGTCAGTCTCAGTAGAGAAACTGGCTACTAGAGCACTGCCATCATAGAAAGGGGGTCTAGAGTCCGGGCAAAGCCAGCAGGATCGGGTTACTTCTGGTTTGGAGATATTTAATACCTCACAAGTGGCCTTTACTAGGCGGAAGAGACGGGGTCCGGTTAGGGAAGGGGAGAAGGTTAAGTGGTGTAGCTTTGAATCTGACCTTGGATCTGTCCCAGGTGAAGGGTAGGTAGGTCCTGCAGTAGATTTCTGAAGTTCCTCCAGGAGTGGAGGAGGAGGCACTGGGTTCAGTCCCCAAATGACTGGTGGTTCATTCAAGAGTGGGGCCTCCCGGAGCATAATTGTAAAAGGGGCTCCGGGTCTGCTCCCTCTGCATGAAAGCGAAGGCCCCACATCCTCCCTGATTTCCACTCTTCCCACTTAGTTTTTCCTATGGAGGTGAAGTGAATGCGGATCAGGTTACAGTCTGGGTCACTCCAGCAGGCAGGCCCCTTAGATTGGCTAACTTGTATCCAATCACCTTGTACAGAGGGTTTCCGATCTATCTTTCCCATAGACTCACAGCCCCAGATGGCACAGAAGAGGTGTTCTGGGCCCCCACATTTAGCCTGCTGAGACTGACCGGCTATGTCCGGGACAGGCATAGAAATTGTGTTGACGTGTCAGGTCTCGGTACCCTGGGGTCCTACACCCTATTCCTTGGGTTGGGCGTGGATACTTGGGGTCCCCTCTTAAGCCTCAGTTTGTCCCAAACAACTTACAGACACCGAAGTACAGATCGGGGAACCATGACTTCGGGTGTCCTTCTTGTTCTCTGGAGTTGACAATGTCTCCAGTCTCGGACTTGATGATGATCCACTCAAGTCTCCTTGGGAAGTGGGGACTTCCGGCCACTGCTGCCACCATTAGTTCCAGGGTTAAAGCCTGGAGAACTAGAAGCGGCCACATGTCGGGTAATTTTTACTCTCAGAGAGTCAATTGGATGGGCACGAATTGTCCATGTAGACTCTTGATCTCTAGGAGCGGCCTTGACCTGAGTGTGATGGATCCATGCTGCTATCCCATCAACTTTGATCGCCATGGGAGTTGCTAGGATGACTGTGTGAGGTCCTTTCCAATGTGGCTCTAAGGTTTCTTTTTGACGCCTTTTGATCAGCACCAGGTCTCCAGGTTGGAAATTGTGGGGCTCCGGGGGAGGCTTGTAGTTCACCGCCTGTAAGTTCTGATGTAAGGCTTCTTGGACCTGAAACAAAGCTTGTAGGGAGGAAAGAAAGTTTTTATCTTTTTGCTCAGCTAACAGATCAGCTCGCAAGTTGGGAAGAATCGGGGGAGGCCTGCCAAATAGAATTTCAAATGGGGTCATGCCTAGTCTATACGGAGTGTTCCTGACTTTGAACAAAGAGGAGAGTCACCCAGTCACCACCAGTTTCTATGGTTAATTTGGTTAAAGTCTCCTTAATGGTTCGATTCATCCTTTCTACTTGACCTGAGCTTTGGAGATGATATGCACAGTGTAGCTTCCAATTAGTCCCCAATATATGGCTCAGCCCTTGTGTTACCTGAGAGACGAAAGCTGGTCCGTTGTCAGACCCAATAAAAGCAAGAAGACCGTACCTTGGAATAATGTCTTCCAGGAATTTCTTGGCAACTACTACAGCAGTTTCTCTTTTGATTGGAAAGGCTTCTACCCATCTGGAAAAGGTGTCTACAAATACTAGCAAATACTTGTAACCATATTTTCCTGGTTTGACCTTGGTAAAGTCTACTTCCCAGTAGGCTCCAGGTCTTGTACCTCTTTCTCGGACCCCCTTTTCGGTTGTTCCTCCCTTTGTGTTGACCAACTGGCAAACTTTACACCGAGAGACTACCTGATTGACTAATGATCGGAGGCCACGGACCCGGAGATGGGAGCTCCGGAGTAGTTCTGTCATTTTATTCTCTCCCAGGTGTGTGACCTGATGAATGTGTGAGACTAGTTGGGCAGCTAGGAGGGAGGGCGGAATGTAGTTCCCTCTTGGGTCCCGATACCATTGTTCATCTTTATGAGCATAATGTGGTCCCCGCTTCTGGATCTCAGACAGGTCTTTCTGAGTGGGATCTGATGCTCTGATGCTTTGCAGGAGCAGAAAGCTGCAGCTCTACCAGGTACGCAATCATGAGGGTGAACAACCAATACTCCATGCTGGCCACAGGTTTTTGGATACTGTGTTGTTTTTGCACCCTATCATGTCTACAAAATATCCATGTCTCCTGCTCTTGCTGAAAAGAGGAAGGCAATTACACTTCAGATGAAATGCAACACATTTGTCCAGCATAAAGGCAGCAAGCTCATAATAGCTATCATTTTTGAGTTAGGGCTTTCACAATGATCTCAACCACCTTTAAGGATAAGAGGTGAATCAGTGATGTGGTGAAATTGTCAGTATTAGTTAAAGCCACTCCATCACAGAGAGCTGGGTTGACTGATACAGAAGAATTTGTCATGTGATATGTCTTAGCCTACTGATGATCCAGGCTTAAGGCAAGGAGTATTTTCAATATGCTAAAAGAGCGTGTCAGTGATCTTACACATACACAAATGTTTGCTGCAAGTCTTGGGTGGGCCTAATACTTCAGAAGGCATCATAATTTCCACGTGTTGGTCAGCTGTAGGGCAGCAAGTGCCAGCACTGAAGGCACTGGAGCTTTCAAGGGAGAGCTGCATCGGTTACATGTGGATGAGAAATGTTCGCCAGAACACGTATTTCATGTCAATGAAATC